TCATTATGGCAGGGAGCATAGTGGCAGGCAGCAGACAGGCAGACAGGCAGCAGGCAGGCAGACAGGCAGGCAGCAGGCAGGCAGGACACTGGACCAGTAGCTGGGAGTTTACATCTTGATCCACATTCAGGAGGCAAAGAAAGAGCACTAACAATGAATGGATTGGCTTGTGAAACCTCAAAGTTTGCCCCCAGTGACACACCTCTTCCAACAAGGCCACACCTTCCAATCCTTCCCAACCAGTTCCACCAACTAGGGACCAAACATATGGGGGCCATTCTCATTCAAAACACCACAGTTGTTCTGTAATTTTATTGCATGTACCTGTAAGTACACATGCACACGTACGCACACACATGCACACACACGCACACACACGTGCACACACACACACACACGCACACATATGAAGCACCACAAAAGTTCCAAAATAGGCATTCATGAGAAACATCTCTGACAATGAGCAAGCGGGAGCCTGCGTCATCAATGAATATGGCATCTGTGACGTTGGTGTCAGGAGTGGCCTGCTCATGACTCATCCTGCATGGATGCAAACCCTGCGCTCCCTGGCAGATGGCTGCAGCGGAGGTGCTGTGATCAGCAGTTGCTGCTGACTCCATGTACCTGTCTTGTGCCTCCCTCTGCCTTCTTCCTCCTCACCTGCAGTGAAGAAACAGAAAGCAGGTCTCACTACCTTTGCTTCTGGAATGCTGGTTTGTACCAAGTTTCTAAAGAGAGGAGAAAGAGAATTAGAAGGCAGTCATGGGAGGTGCAGAATACTTTCTATGTCAGTGCTTTAATCGTACTAAAAGCACCGATTCATTTTTTGATCTTGCAGAAAAAATTCACATGTAGAAAATCATCACACACACACAAAAAGACATTGGCCGGGTTACTTCCTCTCATGAACATCTTACCTTTGACTTGCAAGCCAAAATGAAATAGAGATATTTTATCCTCTATGTATAAATTTAAAACAACTGATGACCTTTAAGTAAAGAATGTAGATTCTATTCCATCCCAATGTATAAAATGGAATTTCTTGTTTCCTTGAAATAACTCATGGACAGGTATTGACTGAGAACACAGGGGAAAGGAAAGTGATGCTCCCTTTGTGGCCATTCAGGACGAGTTGATATTCAGAGGAATGGGTTTATAGTGCATATATAATTTTGTTTTGTTTTATAGACAGGGTCTTGCAATGTAACCCAGGCTGTCCTGGAACACGTGATACCACTGCCCCAGCCTCGCAGGTGCTAGGATTTCAGACCGACTGTACTCAGTTTCTAATTTACAGTTTTTCAAATCTTTGTCTAGAAACCTATTTCTCGTTATAATGGAGAGTTGGTGTGTTTAGATGGACTTGTAGCATTGTGAAAATTGTATATGTCTAAATATTCTGAGCAGAGAGGTAACCTGGTTCTGGTGTCAGCTGTTCTGTGCAAAGGTCTTGCACACATCTGCAGGAACAGCAGGAGCTTGCTTGGCGCACACGCATTGCATCAAACGTCTTTCAGATAACATGTCAACAGTATTGTAATTAAAATGTTTCTAGCGAGTGACTCTAAACTCATGTATGAAGAACCTGATTCCTGCTCTTCTGCTCACGTATGTAAGTGCAGAGTTCTCTGGGAACGTAAGATGACGCACTGGGGAGAAGAACCAAGATGTTGACAGACACTGTACCGTTGTCTTACTTTAAATGCCTGTGAAATTGACCTTTATTATTTTACAGTAAATAAAGAGACAACAAGGTTCATTCACTTGTTCCAAGAATTCAGGGCAGGTGTCCTTTGAGGTGGGATGCACGGATCCCCCTTGGCCCTAATGTCCAGACGCTCTGTGAAGTCATTCTTGCCCACTGTTTTATCAGAGTGCACCCAGCATTCTTTCTCCCTCTGCTATTTGTAGCTAGTTACTTTTTTTTTTTAAATAAATGTGTATTTCAAGCCGTGATTCTGTAGTTTTTTTGGCTCTTGTGGCAGAGAATATTCTTGCCCTTTTCCAAGAAGATGTAGAAGGTCAGTGGAGGTGTCATGGCTGAGGCAGACTCTAGCGTCTGTCCTCATGTGAACATACAGAACTCCAGTCCACACATCAGCATCTGCCCGCCCTTTTTCTCAGCACCAGTCACTGCTGGTGGACATCCTAACTGTGAGGAGATGCAGAGGCAAGCTTGGTGCTTTGGATGCCGCTTTAGGTTAGGCTTAAGTAACTTCCAAGACCCCTTACTTATTGACCCAAGATACCTGTTTCTCTGCACACCCAACCTTCCCATGTGTGCATGTGTATGGTATGTATGCAAACGTATGTGTGTGCAAATGCGTATGTGCAAATGTTTGCTTGTTTGTGTGAAGGCCTAAGGTTGGTGTCCAGAGTCGTTCTGCATAGTTATACTCACTTTATTCCTTGAGCCAGGTTCTCTCAGTGGCACCCAGAGCTGGTTGGTAAGGCCAGTGTAGCTATCTTGCTCAAGGTATCCCCCGTCTCTACCTTCCTAGTGCTAGAATTACAGGTATTTAGTGAATTATGGGCCCAAACTCCAGTATCTATAAGCACCTTCAAGCTGCCAAGTCGGCTCTCCAGCCCTATAGCTAGCTTTATCTTTTTTTAAGCCCAAGTGTTCCGATTTTCTAGACTAAATCATTTCTTTCAAAAATAGAAGTCAGAGAAAGGAGAGGACTCACTCAACTCCGTCCCCATGCTCCTTGCTTGCTCTGATGTCTTAAGGATCTAATAAAAGAGCTTCACCAGCAATGGCAGAGGAGAAGGAGGAGAGGCTTAGGGTAGAGAGTACATAGGAAGTGTCTTCTGTAACTTGGACCCTTTCGCAGTGTTGCGCTCTGGGCCATTCTGGGAGGTCCTGCCTCGGAATCCAGGAAAGGAACATTCCTGGGTTTAGAGCTCTGTTGCCAGATCAGTTTCTTAGTGGGTAGAGTTCCCCCATCACCTGCCGGGTGGTACTTCTTGCACCAACACATTCCTGTTGGCGCTGACCTTTGTTTTATCATGAACTCAGCTAGTCAGAATTTCCCTTTCGGTACAAGGAGGATGTCAGCGGCACACCACTGTATGATGCTCTTGAGAAGGTTAAACATGTAGGTAAATTGTTTAGGGTTAGGACTGTTCCCGCCACAATTCGGCTTTAATTTGTAATTTTAATTTACCCCTCTGGGTGTTGGGCAGGTGTTTCACACACATTCTTGTGGGAAATAACCAAGTAACTGCTTTCCCGGGATTCTAGTGTAGTTCATAGGCCTCCTCCTGGAACTCGGCTGTGTTTCACACAGGTAAATCAGCTGAAAGCACAGGTGTTTTCGTTTAAAAAAAAGTTGACATTATTGAGACACTTTCTCTTACAACTTGTGTTTGTTCGATTTCTACCAAGAACAGAGTCACAGCTGGGCTTGAGACAAAGAACAGAATGTGGCTTTAATTGTACTTCGGAAAACCAATTTTAGTATCGTAGATTTTAGGTTTGTAAACCAACAGGACATTAAACCTCTGGGGATTGCTATATAGAATTTCATACTGTGGGTGTCAGAATCCAGAGCTCTGCTCTTTGTTCAGAGCGAGACTTCATTTACTCTTTGTTTCATAGGCTGTAATCCTTAGGTTGGTGTATGGGTTTCTGTCAGACAATTAGGAGAAGAATCTAAAGGCAGAACTGTGAGGTTTTCTGTTCCCCAACTCTGCCTAAGGCATCCAAATGTAACTTGGGGTCTAGGAGCTGAAGTTGTGTGTAACATCAACAACTAGGTTGTGTCTAAGAATTTGAAGAAGGCGTTATAAATTACAACTTAACTTCAAGTTTATGTTTTCACTTATTGCTTAGTGGTAAAATATTTTTCATTGTGGTTTCACCACATATATTTACTACAACATTTGGTACAATAGAAAAATTAAGTAAAATGGGACCAATTGCTTGAAGTGGGTTAGGACTCCATGCCATTCCTTTCCTGTTTAAGAAACATAGCAGAAATCCCTGGATGACACAATAAAGGCCTGTCTTGAAAATGGGAAGAATAGTTTAGTCATCTTTGTGTTTGTTTCTTTTTTTTTCTCTTGTCTCCTCCAGCTCTTAAAACCAGCCCAGACAGGAAATTAGCATAGCATGGTGAGACACACTTTGACTGAAGAATGGTACTCTATCCGACACCCGACTGTCAAGAAATGTGGGTGACTCCATTATTACAAATCCTGATCACAGGAGGTGTGCTGAAGGAAAAACTCCTTTTCTGCTGCTCTGAATGGGGGATAGTAAGGGCTGAGGGAGAGCTGGGTGAAGAGAGCTCAGGGCCCCGCCAGGAGTAAGCAGAACCGGGGGAGCTCACCAAGGGTTTCCACTGGGTCCTGTGCTTCTCCTCTGTCCTCCTCTCCTTGTGGGGTTCAACGGGGGCAGTGGAATGTTAGCGTTGAAAAGCCTTGCCATCTTTCATGAACGAAAAACAATTAAGATTTCTCAAGAAAGCAGCATCTCAGTGATTTCTCACAGGCATATGACGCCACAAAAACGTGCTTCCGGAAGCAATAGGTCAGAGATGTGTGGTGGACGCCGTGCAGCTTCTTCAGAAAATTATTTGTAAATTATGAGGTTTTTTTTTTTTTTTTAAAAAGTAGCAGTATTTTAGTTCTAAAATGGCTGTCTCTGCCATTTTGTGCCGCTGTCTTCAATCAATCCTGGATGTTTAAGGCAAGGAGACAGATAAGAAACCAATACCATGCCACCTGGACTCCCTTTGGGCAGCTGGGCCCACTCATCCGTCTTTGGGTTAAGAGTCCTTCCACTTGCTGGCCTGAAGGCTTCTTAGCAGAGGCTTTCTTTGTTCTTTATTTCCACGTGTTACTTCTAATTGTGGTAGGATGCTTGTGAAATCCAGGCTCCTTGGTGGCCTCTGTACACCTGAGGTCCTTGACTCCTCACTCTGCAGGAGGCCTCCTGCACGTTTGCCTGCCTGACCCCTAATGCCCCCTTTGTCTCCCCTTGTGTTTCCTTGCAGAACTCTAAGATGGGAGGCAAGCTGAGCAAGAAGAAGAAGGGCTACAATGTGAACGACGAGAAAGCCAAGGACAAAGACAAGAAGGCTGAAGGCGCGGGCACCGAGGAGGAGGGGACCGCGAAGGAGAGCGAACCCCAGGCGGCCGCCGACGCCGCCGAGGTCAAAGAGAGCGCGGAGGAGAAGCCCAAGGACGCGGCGGACGGCGAGGCCAAGGCGGAGGAGAAGGAGGGCGACAAGGCCGCGGCGGCCAAGGAGGAGGCGCCCAAGGCCGAGCCCGAGAAGAGCGAGGGCGCCGCGGAGGAGCAGCAGCCCGAGCC